GAGATTCGATTTCTATTAGTGTAGTTAAAAAGTTTTCTTGAGTATCATCAACTAAATTGTCTTGCCTTTTATAATTACTAAACCCATCTCCGCTATTTGCAACATATATCATATTATTTTCGGGAATATTTTTAGATGTAGTAGTAAGTTTAGGTAATTTCCATTTTGTTCCTTCATGAGTAATACTGCTTACTTTTCTGGCTTCTATCATCTGCACATATTTGCTACTAAAAGGTTTAACTATTTTACTAAATTGGGCTTTAAATTTTAAGTTATACGGATTAACTGCCTTCCCATAAATAAAGTATTAACTAATAGATTTTCAAATTGTCCTGTCATATTATATTCTTTTGTAGATATAGCTACCTTAATATGTTTACTGAATTATCTAGTAGTCATTGTATAATTGGGAATACACCTTATTATTGCAGCATTGTCGGCTAAGTCTATTTCGGCGCTGGCTATTTGAGCTTATTGATGGTTATTCCATCGATCATCATAAATATAAGCAAGTGCTCTAGTTCTGGTTTTTGGTCTGTTTAATCCTACTAATTCTATCATTATGACACCTAAATGCATAAGTTCTAGATTATTATTATTTAGTTCTTGGCATGCTTCGGGTGTTATAAGATCTAAAATAATTTGATTGTTAATTACACTTATTTTTCTTTGGCTAAAATGATTATATATCTTGCTCTGAAAATCTAATAAATTATTAGAATAAAGATTGATTTTATTTTTTACCTTCTTCATTCCTTGTTTTATATATTTTTTAGCATCATGTTCTTTGTCATATAAATCTTCTACTCTCATTATTTCTTTGACTTTTCTAAGGATAATGGCCATTGTGGTATTTACTTATGAGGTTGAAGTTGTAATAAATTTACACGCTTGGCTATTGTAGGATGGGACTGATTATTAACTGACAATTTTATTTCTTTTATTTTATCTGATAATTCAGGTAATTCTTTTGAACATTCTCTGGGAATACTTTCTTGTATTAATTCTAATTTCTCTTCAAGTTTATTAACTTTATTGAATAACTGAAGTAATAATTGAATTAAAAAGTTATTTTGTCTAATGTGTATATTAGTTGACTGTACATCTGTTTTAAAGCTGGTAAATCCTATAAGTTCTTTATCAATTTTGTAAAGTTCAGCTAACGCGGTCAAATATTCAGGACTACAGGTGCTCATAAAACTATTGTAATAATTTTTAGATATCGGTTTTAAGGGATTTTAAAGAGTTTAGGATTATTTTTTGGTTTTTAGCAATATTTTTAATATCACTATTAATATCTTTAATTGCGACTAATATTATCTTATTGTCTAAATTATTTGGACTAGAATTCTGTACTACTTGTTCTTTAATATAATCCAAATTTTCTCCTAATCATTTCATAGAAGTATCTAAATTATTAAAGTCAAATCTATTCATAAACTAAAATCGTTGCCGTCTAGCTTCTAAAATATTTTGTAGTAATATAATTCTAGATATAAGTTCTTCAATTCTTCTTTGAAGACTACGTGTTGTGTCTCCTAATTCGAGCGCTATGTAACAGTTCCTAAGTGCTATTTGACAAAATTCTAATACTTGAATAAGTTGTTCTTTGGGTAAATTGTGCATAAATTAAATATCTAGGGGTGAAAATATAACTCCGGCTTAATAAAAGGCTAAAATAGAACTTGGTTCATGTATTTGTAAATATGCAAACTACGTTTGGCTATGAGTAATATACCTACACTAAGACCACTTTATTGTAAAAGTCCCAAATAATAATCATAATAATATTCCAGAAGCAGTTTTAGAGAGAGAAAGTGAGAGGTATTGCTACGTTAGTTGCAGAGGGGTACAAGATGAGGTCAAGAATTCAAGAAAAATTGGTGGTGGAGGGGAAGAGATTGGTTTGTTTTCTTGTGTTACTTGGTTGGTTCGTAGGATTAATGGCTCGAAATTTGTGCTGGTCAAGTGGGTTTTGGAACCTAAAAGTCAATTTGGTTATGCAGCCATTAATGGCTTCTCTTCTACCTGAAAATTTCCAATTTTTATATAATCCAAGATTTGTAAATGGTTCCCATTTTCCCTTTTCTTTTCCTTTCGATTTTATGTTGGGTTTAAATAACAAATAACAAGTAAAAATTAAAATTGATCATGAATTAAAGAGAGGTTTTGATATCATACCTGATTAGAAAATTAAACTTTAGATACCTTTGAGAATTTCTTATCGCCTTTTGAGAGATCTGAAAAATTAAAGTGCTTTACCCCTTTCTGAAAGTTGTCGATACGATAGAACTGAAAGCCCTTATACATGTAACAACAACAGAGGGGACGGCTTCTCTAAAACAAGTATATCTAAGTCCCCCTCCTATCATGAAAACTTAGATATCAATGGTTAGAAATAAATCACATCATATAAGTTAGAAAATCACAATCTAACAGTATAAAACCATACTCTCAATTAGACCACCAAATTAGAAAGTACAAACCCAATCCATCAAGTATCAATAATCACATTGCAATCCTACTTTAGAAAAGTAGTGCATAGGGCCATAAAATAATTTTTATTATATATATATATATATATATATATATATAAATTCCAACATTTTGTACATATTTATATGTGTGTGTGTGTATATATATATATGACCATGGTAGGTGTCCCCTGGGTTCTTGGAATTGCAGTAAATGAAATGAAAATTCCATAATTTTGGCTAGATTAGCATTTGGATTTTCAGTCTAGTTCAGATATCTTTTATTTCCGAACAAAAATTTGGGGAAAAACAGAGATGTATGATGTTGAAATAAGGGTGAATTTTATCTTGTTTTTTAAAGAAAGGAATTTACCCGGGAAAAAAAAAAAAAAAATCAAAAGCTGTGATTTCAAAAACCATGGGAATTACAGAACAATTTCTCAAAGCAAGGCCAATAGAATTTCACTCATCGAGGATATTGAATAACCACTCCGGCGCTCGCTTCCGATCGCCACCACGTCTGCAAAATTCAAAAGCTAGAAGGTGGAGCCTCTTCGTACCACCATGAAGGAGAGATCGACAGCGATGGAGAGGGCGAAGAAGATGCGATCAGCTGTCATTCACTTGGAAGAGAATTCGAACCATGACGTCGATGATGGAGAAGGCGAAAAGCGGAAGAAGATATGATAGCGGTCGTTGGCAAGAGGATCTACGCTCGGGAAGATGATTGATTGGTTCGTGCTTGGTTGTGCGAGAGCTACAAAAACGAGCGCACCGTCGTGGAGAACTTGTCCACACCCTTCCCGTGAAATGGTTCTTGGAGACTAGAGGATTGAACATAAGATAACAATAACACACACACACACACAGAGACATGTAAGGTTGTGTTTGGCGTTTTGATTTTGGGTTTAATAGTTACAATAAGGGCATTAATATCTTTTCATGCCTACGAGGGCATTATGATCATTAAAATTATAGTGTATGCCACGTGACGGTCATGTGATCACTTTAATGGTAAGACCCGACCGGAAAAATGATGGATCCGATCGGACAGTGACGGATGGGACTATCTGTAACAAATATGCATAGTTCAGGGGTTAGTTGTAATTTTAGTTGCAATATATATATATATTGAGTGATGTATTTTTAAAATAAAAAATAATATTATAAATTAAGATATTTATTTGAGTTGGACGAATATTCAAGTCTTTGGATGCTCGATGCGTTTGTTTTTTTCGTTTCTTTATTTCAAAACATGGAGTGCGACTTAAAGTGAAATTGAGATGCTTCTATAAATTATTTTTTCAATCAGATAGATTCATAGATAATAATTTTTATTTTTGAGTCATAATCGTGACATGTCGACTGCTTCCACCTAGGTTTTTTTTTTTTTTTTTTTTAGTTGGTACTCACAACTACATGCTTTCACTGAGGTTTGAATTCCTGATTTTTCTTTGGGAAGGAGGAGTTTGGTACCGCTAGGCCACTGACCTATTGATTACTTTCAAATCCATTAGTTCGAATATGACCTATTTAATAACCGAATTAAAAACTCTCGATACGAATGCGACTCGTTTATTAAACGGATAGCAAAATATAATCGGTGAAAATAATTTAATAAAACAAGACATGTAATGATACCTACAGTTTAATAATTCATTTAACTAAATAAGTCATATAATAACTAATGAATAAAATATAAATATAATGAAAAGTTGAAATAATGGATGGCTAAATTCATAAAAAATGAAAAGACAATACAAATTCAAAAAAGACCAAATACAATATTTATGTTAGATTTATTTTAAAATAATAGGAATATCCAAAACACTCAAATTGATAGTATGGACTCAAATATTCAAAACAAGTAAAATAGAATTTATTTATTTTTACTTAACAAAATGTGTTTTTCACCTGTATAAGTAAACGAGCATCCTTACTCGACAAGTTCAAGCTAGTACATTGAACGGAATAATTTTAGTAAACAAGTTTCCTCCAATCGAGTAGTCTAGTTGTCATTTCGGCTACTCTTGTAGGTTGTAATTTATGCGCAAACTTGGCACTTTGCTTCAATAGTGATCTCATCATAGTTATTGAGAACTCGACAGTTAGTACTTCTTTTTTATTTATTTATTTTTTATTACAGAACATTAGTCGTCAACTATGTTATAATACCAGTAATAAATAAAATATTAGCTATCTGTATATAACTTTGTCCTTTTGTTGACTAAGTTTTTATTAAAATATACATTATCAGTTAAAGCCGCTCTGTTTCTCTTCTTTCAAGCTTAACAGATATATATATATATATATATATATATATATAGGAAAAAAAAAAAGATATATATATATATATATATTATTTGTCTCTTTGTGTAACAAACACTGAACCGATGTGTACAGGGAGTAAATGCATCCAAACAAAGCCTATCAAATGCATCCAGCAGCACTAGAGTACAGGTCCTATTTTTATTCAATTGAATACTTTTTTCTGTTTTACGGTGTCCAAAATCTGATTTTGTGAGTGATCTCTTTGAAAACTTACATTGTTGGGGCATTATAAAACCTGGGTACTAGTTCATTGTTTGATTTTAATATAATAATAACTGGGTTTGATATTTTCTAGTGTCGGCTGTTGACCTTCCTAGCTTCCGATATGTGTAGTTTGGCTTTTGAGAAAAATTTGGTTTTTTTTTTTTTTTGGTAATGATAATGTTTGGGAATCTGATTTCCTGGAGAGCTTGAAATTTTGGGACTTTTGAGGTATCTTAAATGTTTAAATTTTCTTTTTTTGCTGCTTTTATTTTGGTTGAATGTGAGTTATCTTAGCTTTCTTCTTTTATATTTCTAATTGTTTTATTATCTGGGAGTAATCTTGTGGTGATTTGTTGAACAATCTGCCAGTTGGAGCATTTACAATATGTGGATAGTTGAAACTTGTTCTTTGCTGTAAATTTGTGATATTTATGTTTTTGATTAATGATTTGGCTTTTATTTATTCTATTTTTTTCCCAATGTTGTTGTAGTTCTTCTGAAGTTGGGGTTTTGAAAGTTTAGTGTTTTTCTATTTATAAAACCATGGCTATATTCCATTTTGGTTTCTAATAATGTATTCAGTAGTTCCATCATTTGATCTTAAATTGTAATAGATCCATTATTATATCTTTAATTATGCTACTTATTTTAAAAATCTGCATCTTCGATGTTGACAATCACATGAGGCTTTGATCTTTTGAGTTATGGTATGCCCTCACATATAACTGAGCTGGTGGGCTTGTTTTCTTACTTGGAGGTGGAAATTTGATGGCTATCTAGATTGGTTAATGAGATAGCTGATTCTTGTCCAAAAGAGTAGAGTCCACTTTCGTCCTCCTCGTGCTTTTGTCCAGTAGGGATGTGATTTTTTTTTTTAAGGACATTTCTGACATTTCTTTCTTTGGTCCCTTGATTTTTTTTAGAAACATCAACAATCCCTCTTCCTATTCTATCATCATCTAATGAAAAATTTAGTCAGTTTTTTTTGGTTAAAGAATAAAGAAGCTGCATTGGAGTTTGAATTTATAATTTTGAATGCACTAGTAAGGTTTTGTTGAATAACAAATTTTTCGACCCATATTTGGCTCATTTGTCAATTGTGTGGCTTCTGAAGAATCAAATAATCGTGTTTTGCATTTGAACTGACTACAGATTTTTTAACAGTGAGTTCATTATTTATTAGGTATAGTATCATACCTAGGTTAATCACCGTTTAATATTTAATTTTTGTCATGTTTATTTATTTAGTATAATTTTTATGTTTGTAATGGTTTTATCTCCATGATATGTCCAATTGCTCCTTGAGGTACATTTTTTCATTTCTTTTTGACTTATGTTTGACTGTTTCATTTCTTTAGCATAGTGCAGTAATTTGATAAGAAAATATGGAAGACACACTTGCAATCGCAAAAGATGTTACTGAAGTAAGTTTTCATCCGAGAGCTTCATTACTGATTTCAACCGTCTATCAGCGTAAAATCACTTTATGTCTTGCTTTCACAATGTACAGTTAATAGGAAATACCCCAATGGTATATCTTAACAACATTGTAGATGGTTGTGTAGCCCGTATTGCCGCCAAGTTAGAGACGATGGAACCCTGCTCCAGTGTTAAAGATAGGTATTCATCTTATTTCTCTTTTGGGATTTCTTACTTGTTAGTTTCGTAATTTGCTTTACAACTGTGGTATGTTACAATCATGAAAATGCAATCATAGAAATACAAGTATTTCAAAATGTTGCAATATGAAAATGTTGAAATACAGGTATTTCAATTTTTTTGGGAACTGCTGTGTCGATGGGTATTTCGAAATTTTGCAATATGCAAATGAACATATTTCTTTCATGTAGGATTGGGTATAGTATGATTAAAGATGCAGAAGAGAAGGGCCTGATTACTCCTGGGAAGGTTAGTTGATTCCTTTTATCGGCAGTGTTCTGGTAAGATTTTTACCTTTCATAACTCTTATATCAAATTATTGTAGGCTTCAGAGTTCAAATGCAAATTATAAAATAATTTTACGCCACATGTTTGGGTGAGGCTAAATGTCCTATAGATTGCTTTAGAGTGATTGATGATCAAAGCAAGCTGAATTATGTACATTTTGAACTGAATATTATCTTACCATTTTTGAATATGCTAAAATAATGGTGGCTGAAGACGGTCCTCGTTGAGGTTACCAGTGGTAATACCGGCATTGGTTTGGCATTCATCGCAGCTGCTAAGGGTTATAAACTTATCGTTGTTATGCCATCTTCGTATAGTATTGAGAGAAGGATTGTTCTTCGAGCTTTTGGAGCAGAGTTGTACATCACAAATGCCGCCAAGGGCATTGATGGAGTTCTTCAAAAGGCGCAAGATCTGCTAGAAAAGACGCCCAATAGTTTTTTTCTTAAGCAATTTGAAAATCCTGCCAATCCAAAGGTATTCTTCGCATTGATATCTTGTAATGTGTAAAGATGGTAGGAAAGTTTTCATGGGTTTGTCATTGTGTAGATTCATTATGAAACTACTGGACCAGAGATTTGGAAGGGTTCTGAAGAGAAAGTCGATGCCCTAGTTGCAGGGATAGGGACTGGGGGGACAGTTACTGGGGCAGGGAAGTTCCTCAAGGAGAAAAACTCAAAGATAAAGGTTGGTTTGTGCGCGCGTGTGTGTTTAGTGAGAAATGAGATCATATTTTACTGTTTCGTATGGTGTTGAACCTTTCTTTTGCTTACATCTAGGTGTATGGTGTGGAACCAGCTGAAAGTGCCATTCTAAATGGAGGAAAGCCTGGTGAGTCACGTTGCTTTTCAAGTTACACACCTTACTCACTTAATTCTTTTTGGTTGCTGTTTAAATTTTTTAGTTTCAATATGAATTGGTTACATAACACTGTTGTATAACTGTGTACTTGGGAGATGCTTTCAGGTTTCACTGTACCAAAATAACACCCTTTTTAAACCATATTATGAGATGTATTACATTAATGTATCATGTAATATAACTAATGAAAGATAAAATAAGATAAAAACTAAGCCCTTCATATATCTTTGAAAATATATGCAATCTTTTTTATCGAAAGAAGCACTGTGATCATGACACCTTGTTGGGAGTGTTGCTTGAAAACACCATCTTGATGACATTTGCTGGAATGTCACTAGCTTTTCGCAAGGATTGCTGTGTTAAGTTTTTAGGTGTTAATACTTTCCTTTTCTGATGGTATGATGCACACTCATGTTCTAGTTGGGACTAGAACCCCTTTACCTCTCCTTTTGATTGTGGCAGGACATACCACTCAAGCTAATAACTGGTTGTAAGTTTCTTTGTTAGCACATTTCCAAGTTTTGTGACAAACCAGATACTGAATTGCTCAAGCTTGTCTGTCCAATTGGTTTGTTCAATCTTATTCACAAAGTCTAAGTTAGTTGTTTAGCTTAATTTCTACCAAATGATTAACATGCCAGTATTGAGCAACACCAAGCTTGATTTCCCCAAGCCACTGAAAACAGGAGACAGTTGTTCTTAGCTACCATTATGTGTTCCATAGAGAGACTTGCCAAGAAGTCTTCTTAAATAAAAGCTATATAGAATTGTTAGGGTAGAAAAACCAATGAGTAGGTTAAGTAGGTTAAGCAAGTTTGTGGTGCATGGCAATCTATACTTGAAGCATCTGCTGCGGTGCTGCCATTCACCAATCTTTGCCAAAATATTGTTTTGGCATGCGTTTGATCGAATTTCTAAATCCATTGAAATATTATGGGGATCCTTATTTAAATTAAGATATGGATAAGTTACATGGAACTGATTATTATGTTTCAGCTGCTGTGTTCTAAGGTCTAAGATTTTTTTTTTTCTTAGTTGGTAATCACACACCCATGCCTCCATTGAGGCTTAAACCCCTCACCTCCCTTTGAGAAGTAGGGGCTTAGTACTGTTGGGCCACCGGCCCGTTGGTTATAATCTAAGATTAGTCAATGCCCCAAAATAGGAAAGTGAGTCAGCTGGGAATTCATAGTGAACTAAAATGTTTTTATCCTTGTATAACATGGCTGCTGGCCATTTTATTTAGTGTTCGGCATGTTAAACATATTCTTTTCTGACATTGGTAGTTTAAGCATTTTATAATGTCCATTGATTGTAGACATTCATTATTAAGTTTATGTATAGGTCATGCTCAGGTTCATGAACAGGCTAGAGCTTTGGTTGACCAAGCTTAGATAAGTTTGAATGGCTCTAGTTGAGCTTTGGTTGACCAAGCTTAGACAAGTTTAAATGGTGTTAGTTGAGCTTGGGACAAGTCTGAGCAGTTCAACAAAGCCAAATTTGATGATGAATTTTTCCAGTATTATTCTATATGTTTCATGATGTTATGTTCTCTCTTTTCAATCAATATAAATCACCGTCAGTCTCTTTTCTGTCATTGGGTAGGCCATGGACTGGAATCTATATGAGACAGAAATGCCATAATTCTAGAACTCATACATGCTGTCTGGCACAGCAGCCTGAAAACATGAACTTATAATAACAAAAGTAGAGGGAAATGTTGGAGATTGACACTGGTACAAGGTTTTTGCAATTTGCAGTGATGTTATTTGTTCTAATGTGCAAAGATGTTTTAAACAAGGTGTTTGGCTCACAAAGTGGTCTGAGGTCGCTACCCAATGAATGGCTGACCTAAAACGCGGGCGTGCCAGAGTCCTGATGGACTCGAATATTTCTTGCCAAACTATTCCTATCGGGTCGGGTCGCCAACCTAATGTGATTCAGGTGAAAGTTGGAGAGTAGGAATGACCCTCTCCTTAAGATTGCTATTGCCTTTAAGAAAGGACTTTAAACATTCAAGATAGATATCAATTAGAAGCAAATTAATTGAACAATAAATATACCTGAATCTGCAAACCTTACTTCATTGAACTTGGCTGATTACAATGATGAATGAATTACAAACTCTTGATTGAAATGGAAACTAAAGTATTGAATGCTGAAAGATGAACTAAATACTAAACTGATAGTGCTAAACTAAACTTGATGAAATAAAAGTTAAGTGCTAAGTGATATGAATGCTAAAGGTTTGAACTTTAGAATTGGTGTTGGACCCCTTGCTTGTGAGACTTGAGTGGGTATTTATAGAAACTTCAACTTGGTGTTGTCCCTTTCAAACCGTTTCTCTAGAAATTAATTGGTTGTAAGTTGAAAACGACTTCTCCTAACCGTCTTGCTGAGCTGGTCAGGTTGACTGACTTGCACATCTCTCCATGGGCAGATACAAATGTGTCTGACATAATATTTTTGACTAAATGGTGCCTCTTCTTTCATGCTTGATGATTTTGGTCTTTGGCTCTTTTGTTCCCAAGATTGTTCAGGATTGCTGTTCACAAACATGCTCTGGTTGTTGACTGCTATCGCCTTGATAGTGGGACACTGTTTTGGGATGTGAGATTCGGGCGATCTTTTCAAGATTGGGAGTTGGATGATGTCACTGGTTTGCTAGCCCTTTTGTACAGATAGGAGTTGGATGGCACTAGTGCGGATTCCCTGATTTGGGTGCCTTCTTCACAAGGGATTTTCCAGGTCCGGTCCTTCTTTGTGCGCCTCTCTGGTTTTCATGGTATTCCCTTCTCGTGGAAGACGGTGTGGCTTTCTAAGACGCCTCTTAGGGTGGCCTTTTTTGTGTGGACTGCAGCTTGGGGTAAGATTTTGACTTTGGATAATTTGAGGAAGAGAAGACATATCATTGTTAATCGGTGTTGTCTTTGCAAGTGCTATGGGGAGTCCGTGGATCACCTTTTGCTGCACTGTCCTGTTGCCTATGATTGTTGGAGTCTTATGTTTGGTTTGTATGGCATCCATTGGGTTATGCCTCGGACTTCTCGAGAGTTGCTTGATATCTGGAGAGGCCAATGGGGGACAGGCTAGAGACTTCTGGAGGGTGACCCCTTTTTGCGTTTGGTGGAGCCTTTGGAAAGAGCGGAATAGACGATCTTTTGATGGGAAGGAGTCCTCCATTGGAGCGCTGAAATTTTCTATTATTTGTACCCTTTTTTGTTGGGGTTGGGGGAGAGATTTTTCTTCTTTTGAGGATATTGTGGACTTTTTGGGCTCTTTGAGTTCATAGGTTATTTTTATGTATATAGCTTGGGACGCGTTCCCCTTTTGAACGCTTTCTAATACATTTTATTTATAAAAAAAGAAGAAGAGAACCTTCTATTTGTAGTTCTGAATCTCTGGACCTCTGACATGGTCAAGTTGTCCTTTTCTATTTCAAGCTTTCTTTAAGCTTCCAGACCTGACTTGTTGGGTTCTTGAAACATTGGGATTCATAGCCGGTCTTTATTTGAATGACACCAAAGATTCTTCAAGTGAATATGGCCCGAAGAGGTATCAGATCCATCTTAAACTGAGCTTGTCCATCAATTAGGTGTACTCTCGATCATTGGTAGAGACTGTCGATCATGGTTGGTCGAGAGATTTTCTTAGGTCATAGTGACTTACACTCTTGACCATGATCATAGAAAATCTTAGGTCATGATGGTTGAGAAACTTTTTTCAGTCATAATGATCCATGGACCTCTATCAGCCATAGTGGTCGATGGTCCTTCGTTAGCCTAGTGGTCGATGGTCCTTCGTCAGCCTAGTGGTCTATGGACCTCCGTCAACCACACCTCCATCAGTCATTAGTGACCAAGATACTCTGTGGACCTCCATCAGCTATAGTGGTCGATGAGACCTCCGTCAGTCTAGTGGTCGATGGACCTCCGTTAGCCACACCTCCATCAGTCATTAGTGACCGAGATGCTTCATGGACCTTTGTCAGCCATAGTGGTCGATGAGACCACCGTCAGTCTAGTGGTCGATGGGACCTCCGTCAGCCTAATGGTCGATGAACCTTGACCATTGTTAGCCATGAGCTCAACACCTTATCTCTGTTCTAATGACCTTAAATCTCGACCTTAATTCCGACCACTATGATTTAAAATTAATCGTTCCCCTCGACGATCGTGGGCTGATCCATAGTTCAGGCCTCGGGTTGTTCGACCACGTGGCATGATTACTTTGGATAATATTTTTAGGTGTTAACACAACGGTTCCCTTGTTTTGCGGGTTTAGTTTGGCTCCAAACTTTCCTGTATTAATGATGATTCTTTTTTCTTCTTGTTTATGTCACTTGATCTCCAACCCACACAAGATTTTTGCAGATTCGTTTCCTTTGGTTGGTCGCTATATGTTGAAGGGTTGAATGTGTTAATGTTGTGGTGACCAGATGGGCTCAAGCCCATCGAACTTGAGAACTTTCAGAAGTGAAATTTTTTGTTGCAGTGAAACAATAAAATTCTGAGGGCAGATATGCAGTAAATTTTATGAAAGATATCTGAGCTCTTCAAGCTTGTGAAAAACACCCTTTATTAAAAATCCTAAAATGGACATATTCAATAGGATTCATAAAGAGTAAGTTTGGTGGAGGTACGGTTTGTAATTTAGTCCAGTTCCTGGATTGTGGATAATTATCTATGAATGCATGAGCAGTATTAGAGAGTGGTTTCAGACCATTGTGGGAAGAAAGTTTTAATAGTAATTTTATATTCTCTTCTTATGTACTTTTTGTTGATGTTATTGATTTTACTTCATTACTGTTAGAGTGCTCCTGTCATTAGGTAGCCCCGTCAACTATGTTTCAACTATGTTAATCTCAGCTGCTCTGAGAGTCATGTTACTTCTGATAAGAAAATGCACTTTGGCTTTTCCTGTATGAAGTTAGTAAACCTAAAGATCATTTTTTCACTTGTCGAAGGAAAGCGATTAACTGAATGGGCATCAAACTACCATCAATATGTCCCAGGCTTGCAAAGATCAAACACTTTTTTCCTGCTTAAGAAATCGGTGATAACTCTGTTTGGTTAAAATTTCTGTTATTGTCATGAAATTTCAGGTGGTTTCAGAGTTGGTAGACTTTCATGGAAATGCTTCTTCCAAATTGATCTTTCAATATTACCAGTTAGCTTATTCATTTGTTGTGGTCAACAAAAAAAAAAATATTTGGAAGTTGCTACCAGTTTTTGTTTTGTTCATCTTTTTCTTCGTGTTTCCAATTTTTGTTTTCTTGGTGAGTATGATTCTTCTTCAATGTCAAAAGTCAAGGTTTTAAATGTGTTTTCTTGCATCAAGATCTTTTGAGAAGAGAAACATCTTCACATATTGATTCTTTCCTGATTGGATATTTGCATATGTTCATCTGATAGGCCCACATAAGATACAAGGAATTGGTGCTGGCTTCATCCCTGCTGTATTGGATGTCAACATTCTTGATGAAGTTGTTCAAGTAAGCCTCAAAATCTTATTATCAGGAATTTAGTTTGAGGATTTTTTTAGACGATTCACATTGTCACCTTCTGCTTCTCCTTGACTTTGTTGCATTTTCTAGTAGTACCATTGAACTGCTTCTTTATGAAAAATTATTCTTATCATGGTTGTTGAGCAAAAATAACCTTTGTAGCATTTTGTTTATAGTTCTCATAAAAGCACACAGATAGTGGATGTTCCTTAAATTCATGCTGTTATATAGGCAATAAATGGATTAAATTTAGACCAGTTATTTGGTGTTTTAAATTGATCTTGTAAGAACTTATGATTTGGTAATATGACTGGCAAACATAAGTATTATTTCAATTAGTATGTTGAAAAAAAAGAAATTTCCCACCAAATAATTGTTCACTCTAAGATAATTTACATAAAACAAAAGTTTGGTAATAATAGAATTTTATGAATTTATACTTGTCGTATCCAAATTTGACATCTATCATCAAACTAAAATTGATATAACCAAACAACCAAAAGAAAAACCAATGAATTTCAAAATATTTTCAGCCTTGAATATTGTGAATCTAGTGGCTAATGTTAAGTTAGTAACCATATACAGTATTAGTGAATTTTTTTTTTTTTTTTTTTTTTTTTTTTTGTGTGTGTGTGTGTGTGTGTGTATTATATTAAATTAACTTTACTCATGGGTTTTGTCCCTTTTTTGCAATATCTTCTTGTGTATCCTTTGCTTATCAAAATAACTAATCATATTAATTGGTATTACACTATTTTATTATTTCATCGACCCATTGTTCTAGAATCCCCTTAAATCCGAGGTCATTCTGTTAATGAACATATATAGTGAAATGGACTTTGGTACTCATCAGATTTAGGGGATTATAACACTCTTACCAAATCCAAAGTATGGGAATTGGATTAAAATTGAATTTAAATCCAAACTGTTGATATGTGCCCGCCCACTTACTTCCTGATATGGCAATATCTATTATGTGAATTCCAGCAACTTTAAACTTGGATTTCCTAACCATCAAAGGCTGTAGACTAGTGTTATTTCCTCTACCTTCGAAATTAGAAGGTCGAGGGTTCAAGTGATGTGTGAGTTATTTGCCCAAACAAAAGAAACAAAGAACTGGATTTCCTTTTTCTCAATTGCGATGTTTTTGTAAATATTCAGGTATCGAGTGAAGAAGCTTTGGACACTACTAAGCTTCTCGCTTTGAAAGAAGGTTTACTGGTATGTTTTCAGTTAGTTAAGATCTCTTATAATGGTCTCACATGTATTTCTGACACTCCTTTCTCTTATCAAAGTCCCCAAATTCCTAGTTGTACATACTATGTTGTTTCTGTCATCAACATTTCCTATGTTTTGTCATGTTTGTGGTGAGATTGTTTGCAGGTGGGGATATCTTCTGGGGCTGCAGCTGCTGCTGCAATAAAGATAGCCAAGAGACCAGAAAATTCTGGGAAACTCATTGTTGTAAGTTAAATTTCTTTAATCCAACTTACATATTATATATATATTCACCTCAGTATTTGTACTTCATTTTCTAGGTTTCTTGTTTTCCTCATTGCATCATCTGTTGCCATTAAGAATTGCAGGCATGGAGGGTTTTTCTTTTTTTCTTTTTTCTTTTTTTTTCAAATATTGACCACTGATGAAAAGAGTTGAACTTTAAAGTGTATCCTCAAGTTTCCATACAGTAAAGAGTGTTATAGTTTGGTGAATCCTAACTCAATATGATTTTAGTTAGTTAATGTTAGTGTTAGGCATATACTTGTGGTTAGAAATTGGATAGACCGTGCGTAACTCTGATTAAAAGCAGCATGAGGACACTAAAGTTGGGTCCTTTTGTTATCAGTTGATTAATAGGGGAGGGAAGAGGAGATACCGGCTGTTAGAACCGTGAACTAAAATTGTTCAGAGTACTACATTTTCATTAAATGTTGCCAAATGTGTGTATGTACACACACATACACAAATATTTGTAATCAAAATTAGATCAGGTTTTCATGCTCCAAAAACTTGTCAACCCTTCGTGCGATATCAACGTGATTTTTTGCTAGCCTATGGTGTTTTGTACTACCTTTAGTATAAACTGTATGAACTTGATTTGTTTTATAGGTTTTTATTTTTCTAGAACAAGTGAAGAACCCAATAGAATATGGCACTTATATTTGTTATGTACAGGTTATTTTCCCAAGCTTTGGAGAGCGTTATTTATCCACTGTGTTGTTTGATTCCTTGAGGCATGAGGCTGAAAACATGAGTTTCGAGTAAGGTGTTAGTGTTACCCAGCAGCCTAAAGAAGCATGACTTATCCTTTCTGCTACTTTTTGTATTGCAGTTTGTGTTGGACATTTAACCAATTGATTATTTTGAACAATGTTTGATTTGTAAAGATTCAAAATAATAGTTAGTGTGATCTCTTTTTTCTTGAAATAACTCAACCGGAACTGACAACATTTACACTTATTATTGAGAAAATACACTTTATTGTAACTTTTTTATTTAATAGTATAAGAATTAGGGATATTTTTGTTATTTGCTTACAAAAATTAAAGACAAAAGAGTGAAGTCTTCCTAATAAAAAAACAAAAACATGTGTGAAGAGTCAGCCTGGAAGCTGCAGTGTCGCTTTTGATGGGCAAAGTTGCGGACATGCTCATGCTCATGTGAATGCATCCTCCAATTCTTTTACATTGTCTCTTTCCCACGTTAGCTAAATTGGGAGAAAAATTTTGGTGCGCCGTACCATTCGTATAATACACTTGCTTGTGCGTATATTACACGCGCAGTAGTGAATGGTCGGGTGCGGCTGTTGCACGGTGCAACAACCACATCCAGACCGTTCGTGTAGTACAAGTGTAGTAATAAACGATCGGATAGGCCGGTTGCATCTTGCTTTAGTTTGACGCTTAGCAATCAAGATCATAAGAATTCTAAAAATGTATTGTTATAATTATGAAAAAAAAAACATGTATTGTTATACAATTTTGTTCATTTATTTACTTCCTCCTCTTATATAAATGGTACATCTTTTTATTTTTGGTTGATTCATAATAATTGTCCCATTTAAAAAATTAATACACTATTTTTTATAACATTATCAATTTATCGCTAAAAGATAAAATAAATTAAAGTTCCAATTCTCAAAGGGTAAATTTGAAAATAAACCTTCTGCCAATGTAATAAAATATAATAAAGTCTAATGTCTTAAAAAGTGTGAATTTTAAAACTAGACATGTATAATGATACAAAGGTAGTATTTTTAATTTTTTTTTCAATATCTCAATAGTGGCATACACATTTTAGGACATGTTTCCACTGTTTCTTTGACGTACTCTTCATTTCTCCTCTTTTTCTTCTTGTTCTTCCTCCTCTACTTCTTCTCACTTTCTCTCTCATTGATTTGGCTTACATTATATTATAATATGAGAGAAAAGTTTTATGCAAAAGATATGAATGAATAACATTATAATGTTGTTGGACTTTTAAGTTTAGTTTTTATTTTGACGCATTAGATTTTAAAATTTGAGTTGAGCCTCATGATTTAAATTTTTTTTTTACAATATTCACAAAGTGACCCGTGTGTTCCAAAATTGTCAAAACATGTCTAGTCATTATTTTGCATATCCAGTTGTGTTCTTAGCGTATTCAAACGTGTCCGTCTAAAAAATAATAATCATTTAAAAAAAGTGGAATCTTTTAGCCTTGTTGAATATGTCTTCGACCGTGTCTCAAGCGTATATTCGATATCATGTTGTGTTCGTGTTTCTTATAATCTCACGGTTCTTATAAAGATGTGAATTAAAATAAAATAAAAAAATTATTCCAACTTCTTTTTTTTATCTTTGGTCCCTCCACAAGGTCCAATAAAAAGAGCTACACTCTTTAACTCTTTTGGGATGGGAGGAATAGGACTATTTCCTTTGGTGTTTTTAGAAAATCCCAACTTTAAAAATAAACTATTTTATAACATTCCAATCTTGTCCCAAGGTTTTAGTAGCTTGATATAGATTTACCTTTCAAAACAGAATTGATTTTTTTTTTTTTCTTTCTATTTATATATATTTCTTCTTTTTTAATGAAATATCAAAAACTGATGATTGCACTAGCTTAGTACCAAATTATTAAAAATTATTTTAGCTTTTGCTCGACAATAGTAAGCTTTGAACTCTCAAAAACCTTAACGTATGTGGTAATCTCCAAGAGGCTTGACTTACCATTGAACAATTATGATGCGAATGGACCAAACTGCTTCATTCCTTCATTAAAGTATATGACTTATTATTATTATTATTATTATTATTATGTTACATCAAATTTAGTGAAGAATCTGATTTCATAAAAATGTGAGATAGCATTTGGCTTGTGTGGCCCATAAATTAGTGTGAATGATTATCTTTGTATAAAAAAAAGGATATGTGAAGAGTCAATGGCCTTCAACGCATTATTGACTTTGTGTGGTCCATAAAATTATTTCAACATAAAAGATGAAAAGAGTATGCATGGTAGGTGTACTTTCTTTTTGATGTGTTAAATGTGAATGTCAAATCTCTTTTAGTAGCTAGATTGATATCTTGCTTAATGTTAAACTTGAGGAATTGTGTTGCAGATGCCATATTGGACTTTTCTCTTTAAAGTGTTTATATATATATATATTAGGGATGGCAACGGGACGGGTTTGGAGCGGGTTTCCCTAAATCCCGCCCCGCCCCTTTTAATTTTTATTAAGTCCATGCCCGCCCCGAGACCCACGACGGGTTGGATTTTCATATCCAACCCCGCCCCGTTAAGAAATACTGTGCCCCCGTGCCCCGCCCCACTAACAAATTTTTTTCTCCCACTTTTTGGAACTTAAACTTCTGCTATTTAAATGTGCAAAGCCTAGGAATGACACAACATAAATAAAATTATGTATCCTAATAAAAATAAAAAAAATAACATGCACATAACATAATTCAGAGAACATAATAAGCAAAAATAAAAGTTTAATACAACCAAATCACAAGAAGTTCTAAGCTCCAACTTCTACTATAACCAAAACAAAAGCAAATTTAATACCAAGTTTACATCCCAAATTAGAATTGTAAGAGATGGGTAATTGGGTAAGCCGCTAAAATAACTTATTAATATATATATATATATATATATATATATATATATTAAATATAGTTATATGAGGGGCGGGACGGGGCGGGGCCCCTAGGATATGTATATTGAACCCTTACCCGCCTTGTGACCCTCGACGGGTACAAAATTTGTATCCATGTCCGCCCCAACGGTATAACAAGTGTTCCCATATCCGTTATTAACGGGGCGGGACGGGGCGGGGCCCCGGCGGGGCGGTAAAAATTGACATCCCTAATATATATATATTGAATATTAATTTTATTAAGATGGTATATTGACGGTTTTGAATATGTTTAATCTCTTTTTTGAGTCATTTTTATTTGAGTTCAAGATTGTTCAAATTCAATTTATGCATACTCAGCTTGGATTTCAATTCAGACTCTTCACAAGTTCAGAAAACATTTAGTTGTTAATGTTCATATTCTAATTTTTCATTTTTCATTTTTCATTTGTTCTATAAGAATGAGAATTCAACATTTTATTTACTTCAAAACCCTTATTGAGTGTGTGACCAATATATCAAAAGTTATATTATTTTTCAAAATTTCCTTGATCATTTTTCAAAATTATTACAATATATTTTCAATTTTTATATTTATATTTATATTTATTTTTTTTTGTAATTCCTACTCATTTTCAGGGCAAAGAACAAAACTTACCCAAATATTATTATTATTATTATGTTACATCAAATGTAGTGAAGAATCTGATTTCATAAAAATGTGAGAAAGCATTTGGCTTGTGTGGTCCATAAATTAGTGTGAATAATTATCTTCTTAATACAAAAAAAAAAAAAAAAATATGTGAAGAGTCAATGGCCTCCAACGCATTATTGGCGTTTGTGTGGTGCAAAATCTATTTCAACCTAAAAGATGAAATGAATCTAGTAGGTGCACTATTGCTTTTGATGTGCATCTACTAGATTATTTTGTGATGTGCAAAAAAATATCTTATAATCATGCACAAGGGTTTTTAACTAAAAATGATAGTTTGGAATTTTAATGGAGAAGTTATATTCTTTTTTTTTTTTTTAGATGGAATGTTACTTTTTTTTATTTAAAAAAGTTACAAATTGAAGAATTCCCTTGGTCTTTTATGTATTTTCTAATATATATCACATTGCGGGCTTGTATCTTCACAAGTTGATAATTCTATTGAGGTTTTTGACTTATAATTAAACCATTACGATGAGAATGGACCAAACTACTTCAGACTTTATTTAGATTTCGTTTGGATAAATAGGAGATAAAAGAAAAGAAATGATAACATTAGTCATGAGAGAAAAGAAAAGAAAGTATAACAAATTAGCAAGGACCTTTATTCATATTTGGATAAATTCTAAAGGAAAAAAAAAGAAATGATAGTATTTTTGTTTGGAAAAAGTAGATAAGAGAAAAGAAGAGAAAAAATAACGATCCAATTATTTGATGATACTTTTTTTTTAAAGATTGGACTTAAGTGTCATAATATGTTTATTATTTTAATTGTTGAGGGTAATTTTAAAATTATGAAAGTATTATTTATTCATGATTATTTCTCTTTAAATCTTCTCATTTTTTTTAAAGAATAGCATATGTTCTTTCTTTTCTCTCCACTTAAAACAACCCAAGCACACATTTACAAACCCAACCTTTAATAAAAGAAAGACAACATTTACACTTTATTATTTGACAAATACACTTTATTTTTAAACAAGATGACATAATTGTTCCTAACTTTATAATTAAGAGAATAAGAATTAGGAATATTTTTGTCATTTGCTTCCAATGTCAAGGTGAAATGAATATAGTGTGTTGTAGCTGCACAGTCGCTCTTGATGGGCAAGAGGTGCCCATGTGAATGTGTCTTGCTTGAGTGTGACAATAAGGGCCCTTTCCTCTTGCAATCAAAATCGCACTCGAGAATTCCTCAGAAAAAAAATTGACTCGTGTGTCACGAAAGTGCCAAAACATGACCAGCGGTGTCTTTGCTGTCATGTTATTAGCGTATTATTCAGGTTATGTCCATCTCAAAAAATAATTATTTAAAAAAGTAAATTTTTTAGCCGTGTCAAATACGTGTTCGACCGCGTGCATCCGATACCGCCTTGTGTCCATATTTCTTAGAATATCACGATTTCATATTTTAGCTGCTACTAAACATATGTGAAGAGAAGAGTCAATGGCCTCCAATGCATTATCAGTTTTGTGTGGTGCATAAAATTATTCCTAATGAAATGAATATAGTAGGTGCATTATCATTTTTAATGTGCCAAATCTCTTTCAATAACTAAAATGCCATCTTGCTTTAATGTTAAGACTTGTGGAGTCTAACATTAAAGTGTTACAGATGTTATGTTGGATTAATGTTAGCCATCTTGTGGAGTCATGTTATAGATGTTATATTGAATTTTTCTGTTTAAAGTGTGTGTGTATATATATATATATATTTTTTTGAATAATAATTTTATTGAGATGGTATATTAGCTATAATGTCATTTTGCTTCTTCTTCTTCTTTTTTTTTTTATATTTATTTTTAGGCCCATATAAGTTAAAGTCGTGTGGGACCTAATTTAATGATATATATTGGTTGCAGCATCCATTAGACGTGTGCAAACATACAATTTCATAGCTTTAATTACTTGATATCTCAAGATTTGAAGACTCTCTTTCCATAGCTACTCTCCTCTTCCTGAATTCTCACTTTCAAAACATATACAGGTTTGTATCTTCATAAGTTAGGTCATTTTATTGAGACGGTATATTAACGATTTTGAATATATTGTATATTTTATTTCTTTTTTGAGTCATTTTAATCCGAGTTCAGAGTTGTTTGAATTCCATTCATGCATATTAAGTTTAGTTTTTATCTCATATACTCTTTACGAGTTCATAAAATTAAACTTGAAACTCAATTTCGAAAACCAGGCTTGGCTCATGAATTTGTAAAATATATATATATATATATATATAATTAATTTCTATCATATTTTATATTTTTATATTTAATATATGTAACAAAATTTTTCAAAATTTTGAAAAAAAAAGGTGAAAAAAACACTGTACTAAGGATCCGATGTAACAAAGCAAAATATTGAAGATTGAAGAGACTTTTCCTTGCCATGTCTAAGTTAGTCACTACAAGAAATTTACAAAATTTAATTGAAAGTTACAATCGAATCCCCATTTTATGACCACCAAACTATAATTTTTTTAAAAAGAATCTTAAACGATTGTGGCCAATTATTACAATATATTTTTTATTCCCACTTTATGACCACCAAATAATAATTTTTTTAAAAATAATCTTAAACGATTGTGGCCAATTATTACTATATATATATATATATAATGATTCCACTCAAGTTCAAACCAAATTAAAGAAAAAAAAAATAAAAACAACAGCAAAACTTACACAAACACTTAACTGGTCATGCTTTATTAGAAAATTTATTAAATTTTTCATGATTACCAAAAGATTTCACCACACAATCATACTCCCCATCTCAAATTAATGACATAATAACATTTGAAACATTCATCATCATCCGTAACAAAGTTATTCTAAATTTTGTCCTCAAGTACCTTCATAAGTTCAATACATTTAGTTGTTAATTTTGTTTCTATATTTAGCGTTAATTTTCTAATTTTTTACCATTTTTATTTGTTCTATTAGAATGAGAATTCAACATTTTATTTTCCCCAAAACCCTTATTGAGTGTGACCTATTATCAGAAGTAACGTTATTTTTCAAAATTTTCTTGATCATTTATTTTTGGACAAGTGCAAAAAATAACCCTAAATTCTATTCTGCGCAACACTTTTACTCCATATTTAAAAAAGTATGCAAAAAATACCCATAATCTTTTCACATTGTGTAAAAATATCCCATCCGACATAAATTAGTATTGTAATACCCGTTTTGCCCTTTTACTCTTCTAAAAATACACAAAGGGATATATATGCTACTAATTTCATACTATATGGGTATTATGTGCATATTACTTTATACTTTCGTTTTGAAACTTTTTTCTTTATATATATCTCTAAACATTTTTTTTAATTTTTTTTTGAGAATTTGTAGAACAAGAATTTAATTTTTTTGAGATTCCAGTTTACATTTTTCTACTAATATTTTTTTCCTTTATTTTATTTTATTTTGTACCAACACTGTTGAACAAAAAAAAAAAATTCCAATATCAGTATGTAATGGTTTTCGGAGTTTGGAAATTTTTTTATTTTCATTAGTTTGCACTTTATTTTTGTTTTTTATTTTTTATTTTTATCTTACTTTTATTTTCATTTTATATTTTTACTTTACTTGTCTATTGCCGGCGTCTCCAATAATGTCATTATCGGTCATTTTATAAAATTATTTATTTTTATATTTATAAAATGGTTCAGTAAGGGTAATTTAGTCAACTTAGGGTTTATATTTGTCAGAGGGATCTATTTACACCAAATTAAAACTTTAGGAGTGTTTTTTGTACGAGAGGGGCATCCTCCAATAGTGTTCTTTTCGGTCATTTTACAAAATTATTTATTTTTATATATTTTATAAAATAATTTAGTAAGGGTAATTTAGTTAACTTTGAATTTAAATTTTTTAGTGACGTATTTGTACCAAATTAAAACTTTAAGAGTGTTTTTTGCACGTGAAGAGTGTGATATGTACTGTAAGATTAATTTAGGGTGTTTTCTCACTTGACCATTTTTATCTTTGGTTCTACTTTATCTTTAAATAATTGGGTTTCTACAATTCTTTTGACACAGAGCTATCCTCCTACCTCAAAATTAATACTATTGGGTTTCCTCCATCAGTTGGCTACGATTTGAATTGTGAATTTATTATATCTGCATTTCATTTTATATGTGTATCTCCTACTCTCTCTTGTCCGGAATTTATACTAATTATTTAATTATTGTTTTGCAGACACAACTTCTTTATTTGTTGATTGTCATATAAGCCTGAAAACAAACAGAGAATTCGGAATCCACTTAGGTAATGCATATTACTTGTATATATTATGTAATCTGCATCATAATATATATATTTTTTCAATTAATTCATATGTATCTTCTATGCAAAGCAAAAACTTATATTTCGGTTAGGGTACAAGCAATCAAATATTGTTGCTTATCCTCAAAAAAATTTTTTTTTTTTGAAAAAAATGAGAGATAAATCTCTACGAAAGAGTGAGAGACTTTGTGAGAGAAACAAAACAAAAAGTGCATAAAGTAAGAGAGAGAGGTGGTGTAGCAAGGGTGTGAGACAATAGAGATAATTGCTTAAATTGAAATAAAAAAAGATAAAGAAAAGAAGAATATAAGAAATTTTTTACTAAATTTTTTAAAGTTTGAATTTTTCTATGCTGTTTATTTTATATATAAATATGTGTGTATTGAAAATTTTGTTACATGTTATTTTAGATTTTTTTTTTTTGGACATTAAACTCTTTAGATGTTACCATGAAAAATGCAACATTATTTGATTTCAAGTATAATCACTTATATACGTGCGGTGCACATGAGTGAAAGTGTGTATATATAAGTTTTGCATGGTTATTTTATTGGTATATTTTGATATAGAATTATTATGTATTTATTAAAATAAATTATATATTGCATTCTCTAATTATATATCCTTTAATTGAATTTCAGTATTTTTTCCCTCCTCTAATTATAATTTCTTTTATTCAATTTAATAAATGAGTTTTTTAATATTATATATTTCTTTCTCCAATTAGATTTCTTTTTATTGACTTTTAGTTTTTTTAATTTTTTAATTGTATATATTTCCTGCACTAATTAGATTTTCTAATACTCTATTATTAAATAAATTTTTTAATATTATAAATTTTGTTCTCTAATTAGATTTTCATTTATTGAATTTCAGTATTTTCTATTACTATATAATTATTATTTGTATTTTCTTTACTAATTAAAATTTTTTAATATTATATATATTCTTCTCTAATTAGATTTCTTTTTATAGAATTTCAATATATATATTTTTATTCAGATTTCCTTTTATTGAATTTCAAATATTTTATATTACTCTACTATTATTATTATTATTATTATTATTATTATTATTATTATTATTAGTATTTTTAGTACTATATTATTAAATAAATTAATATACAGAAACACTGACAACAATTTTTGTACTTTCAATAATAAACTTAATAGTGTAGATATATATATAAATATATATACGCAGATATATATATTTGGAAGGTACATTGTCCCATGTTATTGCAGCAACTATTTTTAGACTTGTTGGAGCATTTTCTTTCATGATGCTTTCGTGAGGGACCCGTAATCCAAAGTAGCTTTACTTTGTACAATGTTAATTGGAAAATGCTATACAAAATTATTAAATAAGATTTTTTTATTTTTTTTATTTTTTATTTTTTTATACAAAATTATTTTTTTTAAAAAAATTATATTTGAGTATAATTATACTAATTTTACTTTTGCTGTTATTTTTAAAGTTTCGATTTAAAAGAATTTTCAATTCTTTGTTATTTTCTATTTTTACTTATTTTTCAATATTTTGATTTAGAAGAATTTTTAATTATATCTGAATATGATCAATTGATTTTATCTGTGCCGTTATTTTTTATTTTTATTTGCTTTTGAATTTTGATGGAATATGTTTCGTCCAATTTAGAGTTTTTGATTAAGTTTTTTTTTTTTTAATTATTTCTTTTATTATAATCGAGTATAATTTTATTGATTTGTTCTTTTATGCTATTTTTCAAGTTTTTGATTTAAAAGAATCTTTAATTCTTTCTCCTATTCTATTTGAGTATGATTCTATTGATTTTACCTTTGTAGTAATCTTTAAATTTTTTATTTTATTGTTAAATTTGATAAAATAGGCTTCATCTAATTTAGGTTATTGATTAAGTTATTTAAAAAAAAAAAAAATTTATTTCTTCTACTCAAATATGATTCTATGGATTTTATTTTTGCCGTCATTTTTTGGTTTCAATTTACTGTTTCCTCATATCATAATAGTATATGTAATCAACTTCATATAACTTTTTTTTTTTTTTTTGGTAGAATCCCTAGCTTAAACTTTTAACCTTGAAATAGTTTGGCAGAAGATGATATATCAACCCTTGATGATTAATAATCTTCTCTTATAAACCCTATCTCGAATAAAAGAAAGACAACATTTACACTTTATTATATGACTTTATTATATGATGTACCATACACTTTATTTTTAAACAAGATGACATTATTGTTCCTAACTTTATAATTAAGAGTATAAGAAATAGGGATATTTTTGTCATTTGTTTACGAAAATTAAAGGCAAACAAGTGAAGCGCATTCATCCCTGCAAAAAATTTCTTCTTAATAAAAAAAACAAAAACATATGAGAAGAGGTGCCAACATGCCCACGTGAATGTGAATGTGAATGTGAATGGCATCTTTCAATTCTCTTATGAATATTACGTTATGTGTTAAATTATAATTTAGTTCATTTAATTTAAATAAAAAAGTCTTTTGTATAATTCACAATTTGGTAAACAAAAAATTAAATAAGTCATTAAAATCGACTAATTACTACACAATTTAGATGTAAAAATTGACAACAATTAGGATAGTTAATATTTTTTTTTTTCAAATATGTTTAAATGGAAAACTAATTGATTTTGGATAACCACTTAATTTAGAATAAAACTCTAATTACAAAACTTTATTTATTATTTTGAAAAATAGTATATATATAAAAAAAACTATTGATTCAAAACTCAATTGGAATAAGATTTTCAAAGTTAGATTTATTATATTTCTAAAAAATAAATAAAATGAAAGGAATTATCTGTGTTTTAAAAGGAAATACATAATTTGATGGTAATTTTTTTTTTAAAATATTCTTTTAATGTCTTCAGTCATAAATTATATAAAATTTTAATTCAATCATTTTCATGAATGAGTAAACTTTGCCTTCTATTATTTAACATGCTTAGGGGCATTTTTCGAATAACAAAAAATGTATCAACACATGGTTGGCACATGTGTTTTGCAGTAGTAATTTTGTCACTAAAAATATTTTGCCAATACAAGTGAGCAGGAAGTGCAATTTTAACACCCCAAACTAACAGAATTGGGGCAATATGATAATTTTGTAATAGTACTGGAGTTTTTTGAAACAGTTTGAGATTTTATGATTAAAAATAGTAAGAGTTTTATGAGTTTAGCACTAAATATTATTGAATATAATGATAAAAACAATTAAACTTTCTCTTTCATTCTCTCCTAAGTTTATTCTCTTCTTCTACCTAGCCGAACAATGCCAAGCCAAGTTTAAGATTATTTGAATTCAATTTATGCATACTTCAATTTTGACTTGTACTCTTTACAAGTTCAGAAAATTAAATTTGAATATCAATTTCAAAAAACTAGCTGGTTTAGCTCTTGAATTTGTAAAACATACGTAGTATTTTTTTTATTGGCTTCGATGTGCCAATATCAATGCCAAATCTCTTTCAGTAGTCAGATTGGAATCTTACTTTATTTTTAAACTTGTGGAGTGATGTTTCAGTCCATATTGAACTTTTTTCTTTAAAATTATATATATATATATATATATATATATATATATATATATTTTGGGTGTTGGTAGAATCCCTTAAACTTTTAACCTTGAAATAGTTTGGTGATATATATATATATATATATATATATATATATCAACCCTTGATGATTTAGTTCAAGGGTATAAGAATTAGGGATATTTTTTTCATTTGCTTACGAAAATTAAAGACAAACAAGTGAAGTGCGTTTATCAGTGTGAAAATTATCTTTATAATAAGAAAAACAAAAACATATGAGAAGAGTCAATGGCCTCCCAGCACAAATTATTAGCTTTTGTGGTCAAATTATTACAAAGTCAAATGTGAAATGAATCTAGTACAGCCTGGCAGCTACACTGTCGCTTTTGATGGGCAGAGGTGCCGACATGCCCATGTGAATGAATGCAAATGCATCCTCCAATTCTCTTGCAATCATGATCATAAGAAATTAAGAATTCCTCACAAAAATAAATAATTAAAAATATATTATTATACAATTTTGTTTATTTATTTACTTCCTTCCTCCCATATTAATAATCCATCTTTTATTTTTGATTGTTTCATTATTGTTGTTTCATTTTAAAAATTAATGTACTATTTTTTATAATATTTTTAATTTATCAAAGTCTCAATTTTCCAAAATGGGCGGACCTCATCAAAGGGGTAAATCTAAAAATTTATTCACGGCCAATGTAATAAACATATTTTTAAAACAAGGACTCTTGAATTTGTAAAACATATTTTTTTATAATTTCATTATATTTTCTATTTTTATATTTAATATATGTAACAAAAATTTCAAAACTATGAAAAAATGAAAAAGAAAAAGTATAAAATTGGCTCGTTTTTGAGCTTTATGCAATTCACTGTACTAAGTATCCAATGTAACAAAAGCAGAAAATTGAAGATTGAAGAGATTTTTCCTGATATTTTTAAGTTAGCTAGCCACTAACAAGAAATTTACAGAATGTAGCTTAAAGTTTTGTCTAATTTATCAAATCCTCATTTTATGATCACCAAAAAATAAAATTTTTAAAAAGAATCTTAAACAATTGTGGTCAATTATTACAATATATTTTCGATATCTTTATGATTCCACTCAAGTTCAGTACAGAATAGTTATTCACATCGATATCTTTTTTTTTGGGTAAGTTATTCACGTCGATATCAATTTAACAAAAATAATAATAATAACCAAATAACAATAAAAATAATAATAATAACCAAAAAAAAAAACACGATTGTGGCCAATATATTATTACTATAGAAATATATTTTCAAATTTGTTTTTATGATTGCCCACTCATGTTCGGTACAGAGTAATTATTCACATCTCAATTAAACCAAAAAAAATAAATAAAAATAAAAAGAAACAAACTTACCCAAATGCACAATCAAATAGTTTCATTAATTTTTAGCCGTGTGGGGGGACCTTTAATAGTATTGCTTGCAGCATCCATATTTGTGCAAACATACCTACTCTGCTTGCACTCTCACTCTTTCCTTCTATTCTGCGCTTTACTCAGCAACTTAAAGAACAAGAAAATGGCTGAAATGGTGGTTGGAGCACTTCTCTCGGCTTCCTTTGACGTGCTGTTTGATCGTCTGGCTTCTCCGGAGTTCATAAGCTTCTTTTCCAAACAAAAATTTGATGATGGACTCATAGGCAATATGAAGACAAAGTTACTGGCCCTTCAAGTAGTGTTGGATGATGCCGAGGACAAGCAGATTACCAACCCGGCAGTGAAAGCTTGGCTGGACGAGCTTCAACATGTTGTCTACCAAGCTGACGACTTACTGGACGAGATAGCTACCAAGGCCTTGAGGCACAAGTTGGAAGCTGATGATCATCATCCTCCCCAAACCCAAAGCAGCACAAGTATTGTTCGTCGATTTCTCCATCTAATGAAGCAATTTCTGTTACGAATTAATTGTTTTGTCTCGACTCCTGCTTATCATTCTGATAATGCTATAGAGTCGATGATGAAAGAGGTCATCAGTAAGTTGGACGAGTTCATCAACCAAAAAAATTCTCTTCATTTGATGGAGAATGTTGGAAGACAAGGAACTTCCCACTTACCAAACAACAGAGAAGAAACTTCCCTGGTAAATGAGTCTCAGATTTATGGGAGGAACAAAGACAAAGAGGATATAATGAAATTGTTGACCGACGATATTGCAACTGGGAATCAGATTCCTGTGATCTCCATTGTTGGAATGGGTGGCTTGGGAAAGACAACCCTTGCTCAACATATATACAATGACACTGAAGTAAAGGACAAATTTCATTTGAAAGCATGGGTTTGCGTTTCCGATGCATTTGATAGTTACAAGATAACAAAGAAAATTTTGGACGATGTTAACGGAACAAACAAGGACATCGACAACCTTGACCAGCTTCAAATCAAGTTGAAAGAGAGCCTCACTGGCAAAAAATTTCTTATTGTTTTAGACGATGTTTGGAACGATGATTATAATGTCTGGGACCGCTTAAGAAAACCTTTCATTGGTGGAGCACAGGGAAGTAGGATTATGATAACAACACGCAGTGAAAAGGTTGCATCAGTAATGGGCGCCATTCCTAGTCATCACTTGGAGCCACTGTTGGTTGACGATTCTTGGTCATTATTTGCAAGGCATGCATTTGTGAATGGAGATCATAGGCCTAATTCAGAGCTAGTGAAAATTGGAAGAGAAATTGTGAAGAAGTGTGGAGGCCTGCCTTTAGCTGTAAAATCACTTGGGGGTCTCTTGAGGTCCAATCAGGATATTGAGTACTGGAAAAAAATACTGGAAAGCAAGATATGGGGTTTGAAGGAGAAAAACGTTATTCCAGCTCTAAGATTGAGCTATCAGTATCTTCCTTCGTATTTAAAGCGATGCTTTGCATATTGTTCGAAATTTCCTAAAGATTACGTATTTAAGAAGGAGAAATTAGTCCGGTTATGGATAGCCGAAGATCTTGTGCCGCAGCAGCCCGAAAGCAAAAATTCAATGGAAGAAGGTAATGACTACTTTCATGAACTACTATCAAGGTCATTCTTTCAGAGATTAAGTGACAGTCCTTCCTATTTTGTAATGCATGACCTACTCAATGATTTAGCTCAAGATATATCTGGGAAGTTCTGTGTTAGGTTGGATGATGACAAACCACTTCATAATATATGTGAAAAAGTTCGCCATTTCTCATATCTTCAGTGCCAATTTGATGCATTTGAGAAATTCAAGGTTATTAATGAGGTTAAGTGTTTACGGAGTTTCATATCATTTCGAAGTGAAGGACGGTCTTTTTTCTTGGGCAGTAAGGTCCTACATGATATGTTACCAAGTTTGAGATGCTTAAGGGTGTTATCTTTGTCAAGATATAAGATTCATGAACTGCCTCAATCGATTGAAAATTTGATACATTTACGCTATTTGGATCTCTCTCGGACTCTACTCAAACGATTACCTGGTACAGTAACAACGTTGTGCAACTTACAGACATTAGATTTGTCATTTTGTGGGGATCTTATTGAGTTGCCTGTCAACATAGGAAAACTAGTAAAGTTGCGCTATCTTGATATCCGAAAAACTAGATTGACTGGGATGCCAACTCAAATGAGCATATTGAAAGATCTCCAACATCTAACAGATTTTGTTGTTGCCAAGGATGGTTGGTCAAGATTTAGTGGGTTGAAGGAACTCGGTCAACTTCGGGGGCAACTCTGCATTTCAGAGCTTCAAAACGTAACCAGTGGTCCGGAGGCATCAGAGGCTAATCTGAAAGGAAAGAAGCATCTTGAAGGGTTAGAGCTGAAATGGGTCAGCCATACTCACAATTTACAAAATGAAGAACTTATACTCGACAACCTACATCCTCATGCGGGAGTGAAGCATCTCCGTATCATTAACTATGGGGGCACAAGATTTTCAAATTGGTTAGAGAAAGGTAATTCGTTTGGTGACATGGTGTCCTTGGATCTTATAGGCTGTGAAAATTGCTCTTCTTTGCCATCAATTGGGCAGTTACCCTCTCTAAAATATCTAAGAATTGAAAGGATGAATGCAATAAGGAAGGTCGGTGGGGAGTTCTATGGGAATGCTTCTTCTTCGAACAAACCGTTTAAATCTTTGGAGACACTATTGTTTGATGGAATGGCAGAGTGGAAGGAATGGGATGCATCAGGGATTGAAGAGTTCTCTAGCCTTATAGAGTTTTCAATACACAATTGTCCTAAGTTGATCAGTGAATTATCTATCCGCTCCCCAATCCTAACAAAGCTTAACATTTCCGAATCCAATCAAGTTAGGCTGTTACTGCAAGGACTTCCTTGCATTCAGGGGTTGAAGATTCCAAATATTCCAAATTTGACGGAATTGCCGCAGCAAATGCAACACCTGTCTTCTCTACAGCAATTGGAGATTTCAGGGATGTCAAACTTGAAGGAATTGCCACAGGAGTTGTGCAGATTAGTAAATCTTGAAAGGTTGAAGATAGAGGAATGCCCGAGGCTTGTGTCATTTCCAGACATGGGGCTGCCGCCGAAGCTTAAGACGCTAAAGATCAGCAGTTGTGAAGGTCTACAGTCCCTAGCATCAGAGGAAATCATCAACAATTGTCTTGAAGAGTTGCGTATCTCTGATTGTTCATCTCTTCTTCAGGTGTCTTTTCCTATCGCTACATTGAAAAAACTTGGCATCAAACGTTGTAAAGCTCTACAGTCCCTAGCAGCAGCAACAGTACCATCAGAGGAAATCATTAATATTCGTCTTGAAGAGTTGCACATCTTTAATTGTTCATCTCTTGTTAAGGTGTCTTTGCCCATCGCTACATTGAAAACACTTGACATCTCCTCCTGTAGGATATTAGAGTTTCCCCTGTCCGAGGAGATGAAGGAGTATAATTACTCCACATCCATTGAAGTTTTGAGTATTAATGAAAGCTGTGATCTTCTCAAGTCGCTGTGGTTAGGCTTCTTTCCAAAGCTTCGTGATCTCTACATCAACTCGTGTATGGATTTGGAGACGCTCTTGATCCCAACCATGCTTCAACATCTGATAACGCTTGAAATAGTGAATTGCCCTAAAATGGTATCCTTTCCCCATGGTGGTGGAGATGGAGGAGGATTATTGGCCATTCCCAATCTCATGGATTTGAGAATCTGGGGTTGCAAGAATCTGAAGCGGCTACCGCATCAAATGCACACCCTCCAATCTCTTAATACTTTTCAGATACAAGAATGTCCGGAAGTTGAATCATTTCCAGACGAAGGTTTGCCATCCAACTTAAGGAGACTTCGTATCATTAATTGCAATAAACTGATGAAGGGCCGGATGAGGTGGGATTTGCAGCAAAAACTCCCGTCTCTTGAAGAATTCTGGATCAAAAGTGAAAATGAAGAAGAAGAGTTGGAGTCATTTCCGGAGGAGTGCCTGTTGCCCACCACTCTTACTGGACTTCACATCTGGAACCTTTCAAATCTGAAAGCACTGAACCACAAGGGCCTTCAACACCTCACCTCTCTTACAAACCTATCCATCTATGATTGCCCTAAGCTCCAGTCCTTGCCAGAAGAGGGGCTGCCCAACTCCCTCTCTTACCTGGCCATATTCAGATGTCCATTGCTGGAACCACGTTGCCAAAGGGAGAAAGGGGAAGATTGGTCCAAGATTTCCCGAATCCGCCGCATACAGCTCGATTTTGGACAAGACATAATAAACTTAGAGTGAGAATGATTGAGTGGTTTGTAATCGTCCAGAAAAACCGAATCAGGTACTTGTTCTACACTCCCTGCAACTTAACCAAACTTGTTTCTTTCTTCTATCCATTGAATTTCTATTATGTTACGGGTACAGGAATAAGTTGTTGTGGAAGTGCTTCTATTCATTGAATTTCTATTATGTACGTGGTGGAAGTGCTATTATGTTACGGGTACAGGAATAAGTTGTTGTGGGCAGCTTTGTGACTATACAAGGCCACCAAATCACGGATCCTCTCAATGTTCTCTATTCCTTGTTAATTGCTTTCTATCCAAAGTTGTTTTCTTATAATTTTTTATTGAAATCCTCTTCTCTTTTTCCTTCATTTTTTATTTTCTAAGACATATATATATATATTTTTTTAAATGCTCAATCTATAAATACTGCTCAAAACTTCAACATCTAAAATTCAGTTGTTAAAAAAAATAATAATAATAAATAAAAATAAAAATTGGACCGATTTAAAATTAATGAGGTAGGCAAATTGACTAGCATATGTTCAAAACACATGCAGACTTCTTCTTGAATCATTTTTGGTGAAATATAAAATTGTGCCAAAGCCACTACAATATGGTAACAGACATCTATGGGGTGCTTTGAGTTCAATTCTTATTATTAATTATTTTATTGTTACTGGGTATTATAATTTTCACATTCTTGACTGACAAAACCCATGGATGCCCCTTTTTTTTTTTTTCATTTTTTTCTTTTTTTGGCAGGGGACATGTGGATTTTAATGGATACTGTGTTGGAAAACTAATGCTGAATCATAAAATCATGGAATTTATATATATATATATATTGCTGGGCTGTCCAGTATTTTTCATTTGGTTATTGAGTTATTGTGAAATTATCTATCAAGTTGTGTAGTGTACTGTAAGACTGTAAGTGATGCCCACTCCTTAGGTATGGGAGACATTTGCTGGTTGGGCTGTTGTGTAATGTAATGGCTGAATTGAATTTGTACTTCTTAATTTGCTTCAACGATGAAATGTTATCTTTTTTTTTCTTTTTTTTTTCTTCTTCTTAAATTGCTGGTTGTATGCCAAGGTCTGTAATCCAGCAACATTCCTCTACTTTTGAAAGTGGAAGATGAGGGTTTTACTCTTGTTAGGTACAAATGTGTGCCAGTGTTTCTAACCAACGAAAAATAAAACATTTCTGATTGAACTCTTCAGAAGTGGAATAGTTCCATAATGATATTACATCAAATATTTCCTTCTTTTTTTTTTTTTTGTGGTTTGTTGATGGGAATATGTAATCAGTACAGAACTTGCTTTCATGGTGGTGTCAAAGTAGTAATGAAAAAGTATGATTTGACCCTCTTCTAGGTAGGGATCCCGCTAGTGTAAAGTTTTTAATGCTTGGTTTCATGGTGGTGTCTACGGGACAATCTTATTACTACCTCCGTCTCACTTTAAATATCGGTTTCGGAAACCATGACTCACAAAATGAAATAGAGGGAGTTCTTCAAAGAAAAGAGATAGAGTCAACCCACAAAATCGCAAATATAGTCACAAAACCAGTAATTTCAAACTGGGCAGAAGAAGGGCTGTGACATTGGTTCTGTGGAGAAACATGATTTTTTTGCACGAGTGTGCGACACCGTTCAGCCTTCACTCACCAAGTGGCTTGCAATGATCTGTGTGCTTCCGGTCTCAACTCAACTGGTACAAGGGTTGTAGCTCGGATCATCTGCTGTTACAGCACCATGCTGTAGGGTTTTTCATAAAAGCAGAATTAATGTGTTCAACACCATTTACGAAGAAAAAAAACTGTTTTCAGCACACCACTACATCAGAGAATTGTTATAGCAGAGGATCCAGGTGCAAAAAGTTTAGCAGGATTAGAGTAGATCTGTTTATCTGTGCTCAAGTGATAGAAAGGTTGAAGTGATATGGGTTGTATAAATTGTTCATTTTCTAGTACCCCTAAAAAAAAAAAAAAAAAGGAGCTTTTTATTTCTGAGCAATTCCATGTAAATGAGAATTTAAGTGATATCTGTACAAATCCAAAGACCTTAGAATTCCCCGGTCTCTCTCGCTCTCATTTAATTTTGAGTTTAATACCTAATACCTCACAAGTCAAAGTAAGTGGAAATGGCTGTCACTATATTATATATATTTTTTTCTTAATTAGTACTCACACACACATGCCTCCACCGAGACTCGAACACCTGATATCATTTTGGGAAGTAAGAGTTTGGTACCGCTAGACCACTGACCTGTTGGCTATCACTATATTAGCTATTATGCATTTCATAGCATGGCGGACGGTTCGTAACCCTTCTTCAAAGGTTCGACCAATTCGATCGGTTTACACCGATATTCATCCCGAATCCATTACATCTCGACCGCGACCAATACCGTAACTACGAACCACGTTTCATAAACACCATTCTACCTGATTAAGATATCTTTTTGGAAATTTTCCTTGGAATATCAGTTTGACTAGCAATTTATTAATATTCTTATTCTCAATATTCAATCTTGCATTGCATTTAGAGAATCATTACTTACGCTTATCATGCATCATTCAGGAAAAAAAAAAAAAAATTTGGTTTGAAGAGGTGAGGTTTCTTCAGAAGGTTTAACAAACAAAGAAGCAGAACAAACTTGACATGCATCGGTTTTCCTAGAAAAGGGTGTAGAAAATTTACAAAGAAAACGATTGTAACACCACATATTATGAATTTTTACTTTTAGCAAGAAGGCCAGCAGGAAACCCCAAACTACTGAGATCGGGAAAAAAATAGCTCAGATTATCACCGATCCTAGACCTCAATTTGTGCATACCTCACTGGTAATACAACTACAACCACCAAGCCTTTTTTACAACTACTTGGTGTTGGCTACATGAATCCTATGTTTCAACTCTGTTCTATTTAAGGGGTCAAACTACATGCATCATATCCTTCATCACTAGCACAACCAATATCCACGTCAACTTTGATCTTCCTCTTTCCCTAATATTTGCATACTGGTCACATAAGAAAATACAAAGAGATAAATATTGATGAATACATGATACATTTTCATATCATTTGAGGACTACCTTTCTATTCTGGAATTCATGGAACTCTAAAAGGCTTGTACTGACAAAGGCTGCAAACTTTTCATTTTGCAATCTTATTATGGGAATGCGAGAATCAAAAGAAGTGTCAATGAAATGAAGGTTAGAGTCATGAACTAAGAGTCAAGGGCTAAATTAAAAATTGACTGAATTGGTGGGATTCATTTATGTTACAGTTAGTGGACAGTGGACACACTAGCACTTTTGTATAATACAATTATTAAATTTACACTTAAAACATATTGATAATCCATAGTTTACCCGGACATACATTGTCACGACCTGTCCAGTCAGTGTAAATATTATTCGTTTTGCATTTCTTTCTTTCGATGCTCAAGGTATTTTTCTTAAACCGAGAATTCATATTGTGAGAGGTATCCACACATATAAGGTGCCAACAATTAACATAGAAAACATAAAATTAACATATAACTCTTCTATCTCAAGCATTCAATCAAACATTTTCAACAAAAAAACAAAATGTCAAAACACATAAAGCTACAAAATTATAATCTATACCAATTTCATATAATCCTCCATTTTTGAAGAAAGTAACCAGCTAAGAACAACACAATATCTATCCAAACAAAATATGGTATTAAAAAGGGAGAAGTGCAAAAAACACCCTTGAAGTATACTTTTCAAAACACTTTTACCCCCTATTAAAATAGGCTTCATCTAATTTAGGTTATTAATTAAGTTATTTAAAAAAAAAAAAAAAATTTATTTCTTCTACTCAAATATGATTCTATGGATTTTATTTTTGCCGCCATTTTTTGGTTTCAATTTACTGTTTCCTCATATCATAATAGTATATGTAATCAACTTCATATAACTTTTTTTTTTTTTTTTTGGTAGAATCCCTAGCTTAAACTTTTAACCTTGAAATAGTTTGGCAGAAGATGATATATCAACCCTTGATGATTAATAATCTTCTCTTATAAACCCTATCTCGAATAAAAGAAAGACAACATTTACACTTTATTATATGACTTTATTATATGATGTACCATACACTTTATTTTTAAACAAGATGACATTATTGTTCCTAACTTTATAATTAAGAGTATAAGAAATAGGAATATTTTTGTCATTTGTTTACGAAAATTAAAGTCAAACAAGTGAAGCGCATTCATCCCGAAAATTATCTTCTTAATAAAAATTAAAAACATAATTATTAGCTAGTGCAGCATGGCAGTTGCACTGTCGCTTTTGATGGGCAAAGGTGCCGAGATGCCCATGTGAATGTGAATGGCATCCTCCAATTCTCTTATGAATATTACATTATGTGTTAAATTATAATTTTGTTCCTTTAATTTAAATAAAAAAGTCTTTTGTATAATTCAAAATTTGGTACTCAATTCAAGTGTGTTTTTACTAGTTATATATAAAATAGAGAGAAAAGTTAAAATATAATTCTCTAAAAAAATATTCTTATAATCATATAATACATAACTAATTTATACTTTCACTTGCCAAAAGAAATCAAAGGGTACAATCTTGTCATCATATTTTTACTTTTTATTTTTTATATATATATAGGATCTAGGAGGAGCCTATGAGGAATATAATCCAAAGTTGAAACTAAATTTTAGATAATATTATTCTAGAATATTATTATATATACTTTTTTTTTTTTTTTTTTTTTTTTTTTTTTTCATATTTTAGTATATTTAAAATAAATAAAAATAAAAAATAAAAACACCTGTAAAGTTGGTTCCATTGTGAAGTTTATGCAATTCACTTGACCAGAAAATTAAAGATTGAAGAAGTTTTTTCCTGATACCAAAAGGCATGTAGTTAAATAGTATAACCTTTCCATTATCACAAAAGAACAATTATAATAAGTTGTAACCACATCATAATTTAATCACAAAACAATATTTGAAGCATTTATGATTAAGTTTTTCAAAGTTCACTACATTTACCCTTTCAAGTCCCTATTTTGTATTATTAGCCGTAGTTTATTTGCTTATCCTTTCCATCTTTTTTTTTTCTTTGCCAATCTTGAATGAGAACGCAAATATTTTATATTATTAACTATCTTATGTAATTTAATTAACACTAAATGCTTATCATCAAATTTTTTTTCCTCTTTTTCTTTTTTGAAAAAAAGGAGAGATAGATCACTACTAGAGAGAGATTACATAACTAATTTATATTTTCAGTTAGGGAAAAAACAAATAAATTCATTCGTTTCTTCAATGCAAAGCTAAAAATTATGTTTCGGTTAGGAGAGAGTGAGAGACAAAC